AGGGGCGTCATGTAGAGGGCAAAGAGAATCGGGCTGAGAACACTACCTTGAGGTAGCCCCCGATACGCCGTTCGTACAACATCCAGGTTGTCGTATCGGAGGTAGAGGAATCTTTCTGAAACTAAATTGTAGATGAAAGCTAAAAAGTGGCGAGGGAGGTTTGTGAGTTTCAGTCTTTCGATGAGGACGTCGGCCAATACGTTGTCAAAAGCACTTTGGATATCAAGAAATACGGCACCCAGGTGTCGATTCAGGTCGAACGCATTGATTATGTCCAGGTAAAGCACAGTGGCATTATCCAGGCATGATTTGTTCTTACGGAAACCGAATTGTAGGGGGGGTAGTAGGTGGTTGTATTCCAACCACCAGTTTAATCTCATGTTGATCATTTTTTCCATGATTTTGAGAAGGCAAGCAGCCAACGAAATGGGTCTGACTTTTCCTTTATCGGGTTTAGGGATGAAGAAGATGGAATACTGTTTCCATTCAGTTGGAAAGGATTCAGTCAAATAGATGTCATTATAGAGTCTTAGAAGCAGGGGTTTGACCGTGTCTGGGAGAGAGCGAATGACTAAGTAGTCAATTCCATCAAGGCCTGGGGATGACTTAGGGTTAGTACTTAGGATGGCTGCTTCTAATTCTTCCTTAGTAAAGGGGTGGTCCATGAATGGGTCTTCATAGTCGTTTTTCAAACATGGCGGTTGTACTGGGGCCCAAGGGGGGCACAGTGATTCTATTGCTGTTTCAATGGTGTGAATCCTCTGCACGTTGTATTCATTCGACTGAGGGGTAGTGTTCCAGGCGCGCTTCAGTCCAGCTAGTTTCCTCCATATGTAAGATTGATTAGTGAAGCGGTTGAGGGAACAACAGAAGTTCCGATAGTAGTCCCGTTTGATTCTGCGTATGTCAGATCTCGTCTTAGCTTCGATTTTCTTGTATTGGAGAAAATTGTCTCTCGATGGGTACTGCTGGAGTCGTAGGAGTGCTCCTTTTCTAAGCCGAATAAGTCGGTTGCAGTCTTCGTTCCAAAATGGTGCTGGGTTAGGGCGTTTGTGAGATTTTTGATTGTTAGCAAGGTTGGAATTCTGTTTGTGGTTTCTCGTGTTGTGGTATTTTCTCCCTGGTGTGGCCTCCATGACCGCGGAGGTTATAGTAGCTGCAAAGGTGGAGTACTTAACCTGGGTGTCGGTATCTGGGTGTAAGATAGTTGCTTCGAGGGCATCTAAGTTGCAGGAGATGTTGGAGATGGCCTGTTGCCAGTTTGTCTTGAGAGTATATATTTTGTGCGGTGCTCGGTGAATGATCCTGGGATTCGCTTTTTTGTGGAGTTCTAGTGTGATAGGGTAATGGTCACTACCCCATGAGTCCTTCCCAACGCACCAGTTGTACGCTGGGTAGGATCGGCTGTCTGTTATTGAGATATCTATAGCCGATTCCGTATTAAATTGTCTTGAGCGGAAGGTTGTATCTCCTTGGTTGATGACACAATTATCAGTACTTTCTATGGCGCGAAAAAGTTTATCTCCCTCAGAGCAAGCGCGAGGGCTGCCCCAGAGGGGGTGGTGGGCATTAAAATCCCCTGCTAATAGAAACCTATCGTGGAATTGGTTTAGGAAGCGCAGCCATTTATCGTTCGAAATGTGTTTATCGGGGGGCCTGTATCCAGTTGCCAATAGTAGCTTTCCCTCTACTAAGTGCAGGGTCAATGCGCATAGTTCAATGCTCCCGTCGCAGTCGTATAGGGCAGGTCGTTTCTCATATTTGAGAAAATTGTTAATGAAGATGGCAGTACCTCCTCCAGCACGATGCGTTCTGTCTTTGCGAATAACGTCGAATCCTTTTATATAGACTTTGTCCGTTTGTGTCAGCCAGGTTTCGTTTAATAGAATGATGTCAAACTGTTGTGCTCTAAATTGAAGTTCATGTAGCTTGTTTTTGAGACTTTGGCAATTCCATTGAAGTATTCGGAGCACGTTGGGGTTCTTGTCCATTTGAGAACTGAATATGTAAGTCGATTGCTTTCCATATTCTATTCCATAGAGCATTCGAGTTCGGGTCTGCTTTTAAGATCGATTCCAGTCTTTGTAGGTGAACAGAATGGATGTTGCTCATTGGCGAGTTGGTCTCAGCGAGGTAAGGAGTCGTGTGCGAAATACGGTCCTTGGCCGGCCGAGCTTGCACGGCTTCACTGTATTTGCGATTTTTCTGTTCAGGGGGCAAAGGGAATTTACTTGGAGTAGGAGAATGTCGCAATGGTGGGAAGTTGCTGAAAGTTATAGATGGTGAGTGGAACAAGGAATTATGTTGCATGTTGGAGAATTGTTTTTGTGCTATTGCAAAGGGTACATTTTCATGAGCCATAATTCTACAGATTTCTTTGGATTCCCTAAATTTGGGACATTGTCTGTTGAGGGTAGGATGGTCACCTTTGCAGTTAATGCACATCGGGGTTGTCGCACATGTTTCGCTTTCTGGGTGCTTGTCGTGGGCACAAGTCAGGCATTTCTCAATTGCTTTGCAAACTTTACTAATATGGCCGAATCTGCCGCATTTAAAGCACTGTCGAACCTGTGGGATGAAGGGTTCCAAGTCCAGTCTCGTTCGCCAAATATAAACGAATTTTGGTAATTGTGTACTTCTTACAACAACACTGACAGTGTGGGTGTCGGCCCATTCAGTGTGTCCATCCTTCTGTATTCGTCGCTTTAACCTGGATACTTCTGATACTTTCAGTCCGGGATTTGATTTGTTAAGTTCTTCCTTAATTTCCGCAACAGAGCAGTCTAGGGGGATGCCTCTAATGATGCCTTTCCTAAAAACTTTCATCCAAGGCAACCAAATCATCAAACCGTGTTGTTTCGGGTAGGGGGAGGTTAAAGCGTAGTTAGCAGTGTCTCGTGTATTGAAAGTGATTTCCCACGTGTTTCTCGTAAGAGGGGTCACTAAATCGTATTTTACGATAGATTTCTCTAGCATTCGACATACTTCGAGTGCCATTAGCGGTCTGGTATTATTTTCACGGTTTCCTCTGAGGTGGAGGACAAAGGGCCCTGCATCCTCTTTGGTGAAGGTGAGGGCTGCGGTTGCGTTATCGAAGCTGTTACCTGTTGTCGTGGCCGGCGGCGCAGCGATGTTGTCTGTAGTGGGCGGTTGTGGGTTTCCAACTGTCCGTTTCTTGTTTAATAGGGCATTGCTTGGTGGGCTCCTACTGCGTCGTCTCAGCTTTGTCTTCACCATCGTAGTTCCATCACAGTCCATCAAGTTTACGTCTTTATCCGGACCACTCATCTAGGATGGGCCCTGGGCCGCAGAGCGGAAAGAAGAGGTTGTGTTTTTGTTATAACTGTGTGTTGGATGTATTCACTCTGATTAACAATTTACGACACAAATATCACAGTAAACCACTGTCCACGTCACTTAAAACGTCGAATCGTAATAACAATTCGCAATGTAGAAGTTTCGTTCGGAGCTAACAATTTCGTTCCGCACAGTTCTCTCTTCTACCGTCGAATCTCCTTCTCATATTAGAAATAAAGTCTACTCGTGTGACATCTGTTGCTACCTGGACGAAATTATATGCAATTGCACGAAGTTCCATTACAGTGAGTTACAATATTATTACATCTGAGCATCCTGTTGCATCGAATGCAAAGGAAATACCCCAAAATTGTAAGAACATACGTATGAAGGGGCACAAACATGGACGGAGTAAAAGGAAAATAATTCGGAACGAAGAGAGAATTCCGTTCACTAACAAATGTATTTCAGTGTGAACAACGATAATGCAGAAGCATAGAAATATATTGACTTAAGGTCCAATGTAGTGCGACGGTTATCAAGAAGTGAACAATTGCCTGAAGATGGCCAAGTAAGGCCGAAACACATAGCAATTGGTGTGATTTTAAAATTATTTTAAATTAAGGAGAGATTGTGAACAATTTTTTTAAGTTGCATTAAAGACAGAGGTAAAAGAGTTCGCGACAGTGAGTTACTGTATATCTGAAATTCTCGGTATGGTGAAAGCGCCCTGCTTTATATTCAGGGTCCCTGGTTCGACACCTGTGCCTTTTGTCTGGTTAGCCTGAATGAGGTTTGTCATGTGAGGGTGCAGGTCCTCCCAGAGGTGAATGTATTTCGGGTTATGACACCGTTTACTTTAGTAGGCGTTTTGTGCCCTTAAGTAATGGCAGCGCATTCATGCAAAATTCCGGCAACAATTTAACAGGATCTACGAACTAAGAACCCAGAATGCAATATTCTTTGAGGTTTGTCTGTCTTAAACTCACTCCCTCCAGGAAAACACCGGGATAGAATCTTACATTTGGCCACGTCCATTCAATTTATCTTTCACTATCCAAGCCGGAAGGACGCTGGTTCGAAACCCGATGAGTTCGTTGGATTTTTTAAATTTACTTAATCCTTCCAGCCGCATTGTGACCCTAGGATAGACTCAGCCTCTAACAGAAATGAGTACCAGGAATCTTCCTGGGGGGTAAAGGTAGACTGGCGCGTAAGGCTGACAATTTAACGTCATCTGTGAGCCGAATCTCTAGAAAATGTGGGAGCCTCGACGTCTCACAGCCCTATGGGCCTCCACGGCTCATTATAGGGAGCACAGTGAACAATGAATGGTAACATTGAAAGAATGTGGACGGACGCAGGTCTGACCTAATCGAGGTACCGTCTTGTAAATTTTCCTTGAGGATCTGAGAAAAACCACGGAAATCTCCATCAGGATAGCTTATGCCCAGCCGAAATTCAAACCGACCACCTCCTGCATAGAAATATGAATTGTTTCTACTACGCCAAACTCCTCGGTAATTAAATTCTCAATGATTCGATAGAGTTTTCTAAATTGCGTAAACAAATATTCGAAACCAAGGCCTTTTTATTATGAATCCGAAGTTCTAAATATCGCGCTGCGGCACAGGAGACTTGATGTTCTTCAGATTCAAGGCAAGGATGTGGTATTGTTAGGGCAAATAACAAGTACATTTTTGTTTTAAAGCAAATTCGAAAGGTTTATTAATTTAAAGAGGTACATGCCAACTTCTGAGAAATGGAACCTTATGAAGGCAGACGGAGCAGTCTCGACCCAACCTGCAACAAAAGACACTTTGAATTACTAAAAGAAACCTTCTAGAAATAACTAGGACATTTTGATTTACTGAACACACTCACTAGAAGCAATAGAGGCACTCTGCATTACTGAACGCGCTCTCTAGAAACAACGAAGTTATATTGTATTGTATTCGGCATTACTGAACACAGTCTCGAGAAGTAACAAACACATTTTATATGGAAGAAAACAGACTTCTGGGATATGGCGCCGTGTAGATACTGCGTTAACCGACGTTTCGGAGGAATAGATCTTCAGGGTAGAAGAAAATCTGCAGGCGGAGAACCAGCGTGAGCAGGTCGGTTGACACAATATCTACACGGTGCCATATCCCAGAAGACTGCTTTCTTCATTGTCACCGCCGTGAAAACCTCAAATCTTACACATTTTATATTACTGAACAAATATTCAAGGACCGAGAGACATTCTGAATTACTAACTATAACCTTGAGAAAGGCCTGAGCGATAAGTCGGTTAATGGGAGGCGGGGTAAAGGGCCGAAGCGTGAAGCTTCGTCTGGAGCAAATGACTACAATGTATAGAACGAACCGCCAAGCCTCTCATTAACCTTCGGAGTGTGTTCATTAGCCAAAACGGCAAGTTCATGTTTAGATCACTTAACCCTTCCAGTCAAGGAGGTTAAGATGAGCAGGGCATGTAGAACGAATAGGGAGGAATGCATATAAGAAATTGATGGGAAAACCAGAAGGAACTAAACCTCTAGGAAGACCAAAATGTAGGTGGTGGACAATATTAAAACGGATCTTAGAGAGATAGGATGGGATCGTATGATTTGGATTGATCTAGTTCAGGATAGGGACCAGTGGAGGGCTCTTGTGAACACGGTAATTAACCTTCGGGTTCCATAAGATGTTGGCAGTTTTTAAGTAGCTGCACAATTTGCAGCTTCTTAAGAAGGGCTCAGCTCAATTAAGTATATTAGTTAAATCTTTAGAACATCATGGTAACTGTACATACCACATAACGGTAATAAACTTGGCACCTTCTTCGCACAGCGTATTTATATGTTTCATGTGATTCTAAGAATTAACTTCTGTTGTTTCCCTAATTAAGTTAACCGGCCGGTTTCTGTAACGCAGAGTCGACGCGTTTTCTTTTCTGCAAGGAGAAACTGTTTATTGAAGTAGCATATACAGGAAAGTCACGCTTCAAAAGGATACGAGATTTATTTTGGATAACTTCAGCACGACTCTTGTTAAGCCATATTTGTCTTTCACAAGAACACCACGCCCGCTATACATGCTGCAGACAACAGCTGCCGAATACTGTCAAATTATTAATATCAGTGGTTAATGCGGACTTTCAGCTCAATCGAAATGATACATTAAACTTTTAGCTCTGTGGTTTCTGTATGTACCACATATATTTAACACTGAAAACATCTGAATTTTTCCTAAAGTAAAGGTAAAGCTATCCCTGTAACAGGCCATGAAGGCCCGTAGGGTTGTGAGACGTCGAGGCCTCCACATTTTCTAGACAATCGGCTCACAGATAGCGGTGAAATTTTACATATATATATATTACCTTTCACATGATTCTCAGAGCAAGCAATGAATATTTTCCTAAACAGAATTAACCTTTTTTTCTATTTCTAACGGAGAGACACGAGAATAATATATCTGTATATATTAGGCTCGCTTAATATTTCGAAAGGTAAGTTTTGTTTAATTTGGCCATATCGTTATAGGTTATATAGTACCTTTTCTTCATTTGAGTTCTAGGCCATGAGAGACACATCTTATGCCTAAGCCGTTCTTGACAGAGCAACATTGCAGATGTACTTCAGTATAATCATTAAATTGCATAACTGTAGCGAATAGGGTTCTATTTGTAGTAATTAATAAATTTGTATTCTCTTTACTATTGATTAAGGCTGAAAGAAATTGCACACTGTTTAAGAAACGTGTGTTCCTCAGTTTACGTGTTCAGGTTCAAGAATTGTCAGACAACTTGAAGATAATTTTTTTTTAAATAAACTACATTTCTCTGTGGCACAGGACGTTTTTTAATAGCGGACGCATGTGTCCATTTCTGTTGTTGAACTTTTCTAAAAGTAAAGAAAAAAAATATGTACTTATTTCCTCTTTATCCTTCAGTTGCCAGATTGTAAGCTGGAATAGAAAGGAAGTCCTGTAACCGGCCATGTTGACGCATGCGCTTTTGGTTTTAGTCTGTCTTCAAGCAAATGCTGTGATGTTTCCCAAGTTCTTAGGTGCTACTTAGTGCTTTTCATGCAGAGCTCCGGATTTAAATTTACCAATATTAAGCCACTATCACTTGAAGGCTACCAAAATAATTTTCCTAAGTGTATCATTCGGCCCTGACAGAAAATCAAAATTCCGTGGCCTCTTTATGAAGCCACCATTACTGACCACTCTAAAGTCTTCAGTTCTGTTCTGCACTCATCAAACTGAAGGCGGGTGGAGCCTGGAAACCTAACGTAATTATGTTCCTCTCTCCTCCACAATATAACCCCGTTTTGAAGAAAATTCTGACACGGTTCCCAAGGTTCAAGTTGCTATTGCATGCTCCTTATACGACCCTCCTGGTTTAGGTTCGCCGAAATTAAACGCCTTTCATTTAAAGACCAACACATTATTTATCAGAATTATGCAATTCGACACTAATTGCTAAAATAAAAATTCCGAACCCCCCCCCCAACTTTTGTTTTAAATTCTCTTCTCGCATTATTCTTTACCTCCCCACTCTCTCAACCCTGACTTATAACGAGAGTTGTCTATAAATCTATTAGTCAGATGTGCTCCATGCTTCAAAGTTTAAATAACTATTGGAAATTATAGAGTCAATATAGGTTGGAGCAAAAGCCATATTGAGTTTGAGGTTCTAACAGCAGTTCTTATTAAGAGTCCTGTCGTCTGGGATACGGTACCGCCTAACTCGGTGTGTCTGCAGACTTTTCAGAGGAACAAATCACCTCCAACTTCAGGCCCGAAGAGTAAAGAATGCAATGAATCAGCGTGAAGCACGTAGCAAGCAGATACAAACCTTCATGAGCTGTTACGTTCGTTCAGCTGTAGTCACATTCACCGCTTAACGGCCGTAGAAGCCGTAGCCAAGACCGGAGTAGGCATACGGACTGGCATATGTGCCGTAGTATCCGTTGCCATAGTATCCGGCGTAGTACGGATACTGGGCCGCGGCCACTGCGATCAGCGCCAGGACGAGGAGAACCTGAAACACATTACATTGCTGAACCCTCCAGAGCACAATGGTTGCTATGAGCTCGACACTGCAGCAGGCAACAGTTCTGCCTTGTACTCGGGAGGTCACCTGTTCGCATTTCTGCAAGGACACTGGCTATTGTCACCGATGTTCTTTGTGATTCTCCTAAATACGTCGACGCAAATGTCAGGGTAGTACCTCATGTTACACCAAGATCTCCCCTGCACTTTCACTGGTTTAGTATACAGTCATTTTAAATTAATAAAAATAAAATTTAAAGAAGTAATCTTCATTTCGGGGAGGAACTTTTGAATTTATTGTCTGTTACGGACCTTCTTCGAAAATCGCTGCCCCACTTTCTCAGGTTGGCCAAGCTAACCAATATGCTTCTTAGAATATATCATGGTATCCCCATCTTAGAGGAAACATGGCCCACGACTGCTTCTCACCACGTCAGTTCCAATATCTTCTTTTTACAGGAAACGGTCCTACCATTTGACGCTGAATTATCCGAGATAGTGTCAGAGCTCACAGCCATGTACAGGCGTGCATCGTGTGCATTAACACTAGAAAACAGTCCACAATTTCCCCACAAAATAAACATCGGTTACTTATATATATATATGCACGAAACTAATGAATTGGGATTTGTAACGGAGATGCAGTCTGTTTGCTGTGACGTAAGAACGGAATTGTAAATATCATTCAGATGGCCTGCATTCGAAAGGCCAACGACCGGCCAACTCGATCAAAGTTTTCCTAAGTTTTCCTCGGCCCTAAAGTAAATGATTTATTGGTACAAAATCTCCACGTCTTGCTGCATGATCCACATGTTAAAACCGAGTTTTCGCCCCCAGTGTAACCCTCCAAATGTTAGTTACGATATCACCTTAATGCATCCTGTCTAATATCAGTAAATGGCATCCCAATGCGACCGTCCTTATGTTAACATAGAAAAGCACTCTAAAGCAACCATCAAAATCTAACGCAGTAAAGACCATGTTCGCCTTTTCCCCACTGTAAATCTAAGGATATTTCTTTCTATCAATTTACCCGCTTCACCTCCCATCGTTTTACCTCTTCTCCAATATTTATTTACCAGAGAAGCCGCGCCGTAGCTCAAGCCGTTAGTCCCTGGCTTCCCACCGCGGCGGCCCGGGTTCGATCCTGGGTCTGGTCAAGTGGGATTTGTGGTGGACAAAGTGGCCTCCGAGTACTCCGGCTTCCCCTGCCAATCTTCATTCCACCAATTGCTCTACAATCACCCTCACCTATCATCTAGGGCTGGTATAATAGGCTAGAAGTGGCCGCAGTACAAGGGACTTATTCCCACCCCACTAACAATAAAAAAAAATATTTACCAGAAGGATGATGGAGAATTGCCTTGGAAATTTCAGAGACGAAAATTTTATTGCTGCTCCCTCTCTCGGCACCAGGTGCCTCTTACTACCATCCACCCCCACCCCCCGTTTTATCACTGTCTTGCGAGACTTCAGACGGGTCGTAGCTCTTAGTCAACGGAAAATGTCATTCAGTGTCTGTTTGCAGGGTGTGTGATAAATGTGGGTAAAAGATGTGACAGGAACTGGCCGTGGCTAATTTTTGGGTACAGTTCAGCTATATTTCTGGAGTAAGGCCATGAGATATGTCAGCCAGAATTGCCAGTCTCCTAGTAGAAATTCGAAACCAGCAGGTTTTTCCGACAATGAATCAATAGCGATTTCCGTTCACAAAATTAAACACTCTAGCACCATTCGCAAGTTCCCAGCAGTAGACGCGACAATTATGTGCGACCCTGAATTAATACATCACGAATTCACTCGTGATGCCTCGATTTATTTCTTTGTCTTCCAATTACCGACTGCGTCATGATCTCAGGCTACGAAATTTCAGTCGATAAAATGACTGATTCGGTTACAGTTAATCCGGATGTCGGATAATTTGCTTCGAAATATGAAAAATGAAATATTCTGTTTACAGTGGAGTCTCTGCTTTAAAAAACACGTGGAATATAGGAGCCATGGAGATTAGAGCAAGAAGACTTTCAGATTATGTTGAGGGCAGCTGGAAAAGACTGAAATCGCGCAAGAAAATATCAAAGATTCACTTCAGCTGGATAAAGGTGGCCTTAGATTTCAGCTTCTGACAGAGGAAGAAATTGTCGCAAGTGATTTCTTTTTTGTTTATTTTCATTAGAACCAACTATATTATTAAATTTTCCATTTCTTTCTTTCTAAGTTTTTTGTCCTTTAGGGCTATCTTTTACTTAATTAAACCAGATTAGCGAGGGTTTACTGTAATAAACGGAAGGAATATGAAGAGAAGCGGCAGTTACCCGGTTTGAAGCAATGTCCGTACATTTTCCCGAAGGAAGTGACGAACAGTACGCATAACCTCAGTCAAGAGAGCCGGCCTCCACTACGGGATTTGAACCCGGACTTGCCGAATGAGAAGCAGGAATGCGACCTGCTAGAAGGTGAAGTTGTTTAGTTCAGCAAGTAAAATTTTTGGCTGCAAACGCAATGGAACCTGCTTATATCCTGCTAGAGGGTTTTGACACTATTTTTTTTTTCCATTATACGAACATGGCACTCCTATTCCTGGAGGTAAATCGGCCGGAACGTCATGCTGAGCATTTATCTTCAATAAGTACAGATATCCTATATTCCTTCCTCTCCACGTCTTCTGTATGCTCACATTCTGTGGCGCTCACATGCATATGATGCTGTATTTATCTTTTCTATTCTCTGAAGTTGTAATTTTTTAAAATCACAATTTAGTAAAACCTACATCGAAGAGGTACGAGTAGATCGAGTGAAATATAAAAACATAAGCTTCCATAACTTAGTTTGGCGCAGAGGTATCTTTGTAAACCACATGCTCTAACTTTCATTAAGCCTCCATTTCAGCCATGGAATTTGTGTGTTCTGTTTTATTCTTACAATAAAAATGATCATTTCCCTAATATTAATGGAATTCCAAAGAGAATTTATATTTCTTCTTGAAGACAAGGACAGAACTAAAGAAGTTTTCGAAGAAGCATATGTTTTTGTAAGCATCAAATGGTTTCCTTTTCTAAAAATTTTGGTATTTGAATTGATCATAAGCATTTATGTTAAATATTTGGATTTGTGTCATGTTCCATGGGCCTGACACCCACAAATCGAACTTTGCATTCACCACGTATATTTTCTTATCGTGCTATGATTAAGCGGGAACTCTTGTTCCAATTTAAAATTTGCCTAAGATTTGCTGAAATCATAACATAAACATTATTTGAAATCTAAAGGACAAAAAAAATAAAGCTATCCCTGTAACAGGCCATGGAGGCCCTTGGGGTTTGTGAGACATCGAGGTTCCCACATTTTCTAGGCAATCGGCTCACAGATGGCGGTGAGGTCACCCTCTAACCCCCGGAAAAATCCAGGTACTCATTTCTGTTAAAGGTTGAGTGGATTCCAGGGCCACGTGGCGGCTGGAAGGAATAGGTCAATTTAAAAATCCAATGACCTCAACGGGAATCGAACCCGCGACCTTCCGGCTTGTAGCACAGTGCCTCAACCAACTATGCTACCACATGCCCACGCCATTGAAAGGGTTAGAATATAAATTTCTCAAGTACTTCTTAGTGAAAATAAGGAATTTATGTACTCTCTTGACCACTTACCAGCTTGAACATTGTTGCGGTTTTCTGTGAGCTGTCTTTCTGCGGAAGACTAATGCCCGTGCCTTTATTTCCCGGGATTTATATAGCGCGAGCAGAGTAGATCTTGCTTACATAATAAGAATAGTTAACTGGCCGATTTACCCTTGGCCTTGGGCAGAGAAACTGAAGACCTTGTGGATGTTTATGTGGGTCCACGCCCAAAGTGAGAACGCCCACTTTGTACCTTGTCTTTATATCAAAACCGGTAAATATTACTTAACGTTTCGCATGAACCGGTATACCGACCAAAACAAAAACTTGACACGCTATTGTCCGAGGAACACGTGGGCATTGTGTGGTTTAAGTCAGGCTAAATAGGACATGCGCACAAGAAAGACAAAGATTTCCTTTGTCCTGTGTCGTTGCGACGGTTACATTGATTGAAATTATATAAAGCAGAATTTATCGAGAGCTCCTGGTCCTCATGCAGGTTTCTTTTAAATCGAACCGAATGTAACCATTCAAAACAACAATGGCTACTGCAAACATCACCTCCATAATATTAAGGAAATCAGTATTGTGACATGACGCTTGAAAACCGGATTAGAGGAGGCAGAGCAGATGTCCATTGCTAGGCAACGGCTCGGTAAACACATTCTCGCGGCAACGAACGACCACGCAACAATGGAACTACCGTTTATATGCAACCGCGAGGTAAACACATCTCTGTAACAATAGATGAATTGTTGGGAGACGGTGTTTTCCGTACTGCCCATGCCGCAGCTGGTCGTAGGAGGCGACGAAAAGGGAACCCAGTGCCTTGGGGTATAACCGGGTCACCCTGTTCCTGGGAGACATAAATACAGGGACATGGCCATCCAGGTTAGGGGATTCTCGTATCTAGGACAGTAAAATGTGGTCATGAGTCCCGCGGGAATCTGACCTAAGAATGAATGCGCTGACGATGGCCAGCAGCAATTGTAAACGAAAGACCCATCCTCTCGTCAGAGAGGATGTTACATAAGAATTATACCCGCAAGTGTTCAGTTGAAACAAAAATTGCTGGTCGTGAGGCTCAAGACGAACTGATTGACGGTAAACCGAGAGTAGTAAAGTAATTCTGACTCTGACTCTGACTCTGACTCTGACTCTCACAAAGTTATTCGTTGTCAAGAGAACTGAGTCTCTGGAGATGGCAGTCGAATGACTGAGTAGAAGTGGCAAGAACAGAATTAGGCTGTGAAAAGAAGATTTTATGGGTGCTGCAGTGACAGTGACAATTTTATGGATCCAAATACCACTAGTGAATATTGTGTGTGTGTGTGTGTGTGTGCAAAGGTCAACTGTAAATTGTGTAGATTAGCGATTGAGCTGTAATTGCATATAGTTCCGAGTGGAGTGCATAATTGGTCAATAAATAAATTTCATCGCTCCTAAACCTTCTAGTAAGTCACGCACGTACCCTTAAATCTTGACATTTTGCTAAAATTATGTATTTATGTGGTTCATAATACGAGTATTATCAGAATAAACATCTGTTATCTCTTACAATTACATTAGGAACTATTCTCGTTAATTACTACAGGACTAGAACATGGTATCAATGAACAGTAATGTAGCATGTAGACACGTTGCTAGGAAACTACCCCGAGATAAACAATTATACAACAGCCGTTGCTAAATAACATCTGCGCAAACACTTATGTTTCCACGGAAACAATTATACTGCAAACAGAGGAAATGTTTTATGTGAGGTCCGTGATTGGATGTTATAAGCAGAACAACTTAGGAGTTACAGTTAGTTAGAAAACCGCTGGGGCACAGTTGTTGAGAGGTATTGTTGTTGTTGTTGTTGTTGTTGTTGTTGTTGTTAGAAGCTCGTAGTTGAGGCGGGGGTCAGTTCGGGAACCCAGAGGAAGGGGAAATGTCTCTCGTTGGAAGCCAATGCCAAGCAGCTGCAGTGAAAACTGTAACAGACTGAGAAGACCTAGTATGTCCTATAGTGATTTATGAAGTGTGTAGAACAATAAGAGCATAATCCTTACTTGTAATTATGAGTTGTAAAGTTCAATAAATTCGATTACCAATCCCATTCTGTCTATAGTCACACTAAAATCGTGAAAGTATTTTAATCAGCATTAGATGATCACTTCTCAGTTGGTTACAATTTTCACTAGCCGTTGTTCAGTAGCGGCTTCCAACGGAGGACGTTCCCCATATGTTCCCGACCTTAGCTACAGTAACTCTAGAATAACTAACTAACTCTCTGACCAACTCAGTTCCACTGACTGGTTCTAATTTTTCTTCCTGTAACAACTCGGCACGGTCCGCACAGAAAACACCGTTCCTCTGTTTATCTTTACTATTTGTTTATTGGATAGTCGTTGCCTAACAACTGGTTCACATGCCACATTAATTTAGAGCTAGTTCCCGCTCATACTGAATGAGTCTTAGGGCTTTCAGTTTCTCTTTATAAACTGCTTAGAATATCCACACAGAAACACGAATGTCAATGCTGAATAAGTAAGAATTTGGGAAGAAGTGGTTGTGATCTATTTAAATGTACTATATCATTGCGTGCATGAAGAAGTTGAGGAAAGTCACCATAAATCCTCTCGTAGATAGGAATAACCCGATCGGCATTCGAACCAAGTACCTAATGAACAGAGGTCCGCAGTTATAACGTTGCAGCAAAATTCTTGGTCTGTCAGTGAAGAGGGAGTGCTTCGCTGGGCGGTGACAGCGAAGGGGTGAGTGTTTGAGCCTGAGCGCGGGACGAAGTGATAGGAGGTGAACTAAGGTGCGCAGTGAGGAGTTGCGCAGTTCGCACTGCCCCTTAATTGAAACAGGAAAAAATTAGTTCGATAGTACATGTAATATTAAAAGAAAAATAACACAGGCCAACAGCTGTTTTGGTGCCGGGGTATTTGGAGCTGATTTCATATGAATTTGATGCCCTGAATTCAAATATGGCATTAGTTTTTGCCTAGGAGCTCAAATTTTTAAGATATAACATTTTGGTGAAATATACGTTACACTATTTTAAGTTAAATCAGTGGATCAAATAAAAAAACTCAACATGGAATTTTTATTACTATATTATAATTATATTTTTATTTTATTANAATAATTAATAATAATAATTAATAATAATTAATATTAATTGATTATAATCAATTCGTGTAAAGTTTCATTTTAAAATCCCCAAAGGAAGAGCAAATTTAGGAGTTTGACCTTAAATTCAAGAAATATATTGAATGTGGTGTTAAAAAAAATGTTATAAAGATATGGAACGTATATGATCCAGTGATGGGCTTATATGAACACGGTGATGAACCTTCGGAGTTCAGAAAAGATGTATATATTTGCAAGTAGCTAAGCGACAATTGTGACACGCCCTACAATAGTTGGTTGAGGCACTATGCTAGAAGCCGAAAGGCCGCGGGATGGATTCCCGATGAGGTCACTGGATTTTTCAATTAACCTAATCCTTCCAGCCGCACTATGGCCCTGGAGTCGACTCAGTCTCTAACAGAAATGAGTACCAGGAATCTTCCTGGGAGTACAGGAGGACCGGCTCGTAAGGGTGACCTCACCGGCATCTGTGACCCGATTTTCTAGAAAATGTGAGTGGCTCGATGTCTCACAACCCTGTGGGTCTCCACGGTCTGTTACAGGGATAGCTTTACTCTTTTTTACCTAAGCGACAATTAGCTTCTAAAGGGGTCTGAGTCGTGGACTTCGCCGCAGTCCCCCCACTCCCTTGATATATAAGCGTATAGTAAGCAAAATGCGCCCTTCACTTTCGTCACCAGTGACATCTATCTTAAGAGAGCATAGTTGGAGACATGCAAGGTGTGGCGATGTAGTACGCAATTTTTACGCGTGATGGCCCCGCGGCAGTAGGCAATTTCGTCGTAACCGCTCGAGCCAGTTGGTGTACCTTTTGCGGACGGTACAAGTGAATCCAGTAAACTCATTAAACCAAGGTCATCGGAGGAGACAGGAAAAGTAGATCTAAATTCAAGTGTAATTTATGTTCCCGGACATAAGGACGATAAAAAATCTAGCATGTTACATGTTGCACTTGAGGCTGTCACAGCAATGACTATGCAGAATACGTTATTCTGGTTTTCAACGCCGCATAGCTTGGAGAGAGCTCGACATTTCGGAGGAACCTATCGTCTCCATCTTCAAGGTCGAAGAGTGAGCAAAGCAAGAAAACAGACGAAGTGGTCAGCAAGCAGATTCTTTTTCCGGTAGTCTCTTACTGGATAACTCTTGGGAAGATAGAGATAAAATGTTCTTCTGAAAGTCGGACTATCCGAGCTACAGGACATTATAATCAAGATGACCATATTCCGCATAAAATATTGTACATCATACATTAAACGAGTTCTTTAAAGCAAGCAGAACATAGGGCGTAAATTCAGAACTATCTTAGGAATGAAAAAAAATATATATATCGTTACTGTAGGCGTGGTATATAGAGATTCATACGTGTATGTTTGAAAATATTGTGGCATGTAGACCCGTTGCTAGGCAACGCAGCGAAACAAACAATCAGAAAACGACTATTACTAGCCAACAGCCTGTAAACAGCAAGAGAGCAATGGTGTTTTCTGCGCTATGGCGCGGCCTACGTGTACTTACATTTTCCGATATTCTCATAGTTTTCAGGAAAATTACAACAAAATGACGGAAGAACAGGAAACATTCAGTATGTAATGAATGCCCCGTTCTTGCTTGTATGTATGTATGTATGAATACGTGTATATTGTTATTATTTATGTATTCAGGAATGCGCGTGTCATGCTCGGATATACGCATGTATGTATTGTCACGTGTTTGGGTGACTAAAACGCGGGTTTGCATTGGTAATTGGATTTATTAACAAGTAACAGGTTGAAGCTACAATTAGCGCTAACATAATCTTACTGTAACTATAGCACATCTTAACTGCGAACAGCGATAACATGTAAAGCCTTCAACTACTGAAATACCTTGAACGAGGTCTTACTGGCGAAAATCCTGCCGAACAGTTTCACTGCTCTTTATATACGCTTTGCACGGGCCACGCAGAAAACCCCCCGTTTTATTGTTGTATAAGGAAGACCACACAGAAA